ACTATAAGGACGTCTACAAAGTGGAGACGATTGGTGATGCCTATATGGTTGTAAGCGGATTGCCTATCAGAAATGGTGACATGCACGCAGGCCAGATTGCTTTTATGGCCTTAGAGCTATTAGAATCCATACGCGCATTTAAAATAAGACATAAACAAAATGATACATTGAAGTTGAGAATTGGTATTCACACGGGTAAGTTCATTTATTTCGCTCTTTTCAGACATTGAATGTTTCCATTAAAAATATGTTCAATAAGGTGTTAAATCATATTGAACTATTCTTTCGTCAAAAGTCTGTTTATATATTTAACTTGCAGTTATTACTAACATTTCTGTTCAATTCAATACTGTGTGTTATTAAGACGTAATGAATCTCGTGCTTTGATTTATAACATCCACAAAATTTCTATTGTCTGCAATTTTCTTTGCTGTTTCTTTAACGTTGAATTAAGTTGGGGGGGGGGGATTTCTTACTATTGCCGCCGTGCATCGTTACTTATGTTTGGAATATACATCATTCTGCAAAAAAAAATTTCTCTTTAATTTATGCCGCGTATTTTTTCGGAAACTCTCTACGCTATTTTTTTTTATCAGAATGCTTGCTATAAATTCTTTGGTAATATTCTTGATACTATTCTTGTATACAGCGTATTTTTATATTTTATAACCGTCGTTGAACAGCCGACCCAATTTTGGGTTCACAACTACGAATGTTCAACTCCGTAACCTTGTAATTTTCAACAAATTGCAAATGACCAAATCCAAATTAGGGGGAAATTGCCTTCGTGGAGGACTTTTTGATGGAACTAACCCGCATTTGCGTTAATGGAGAGGAATACCATGAAAACCACCCACGATTAGCCTGACCGCAAGGGGGCACTCTAACTCATGATCCGTCTACCACCGACGATAATTTACGTCAGCACTGTGGTCAATGCTAGCCGCATGAGGAATTCGCATCGACCAGCCTTCGCTGGGATTCGAACCCGGTTCACCTCATTGGAAGACGAACCCTCTATCCCCTGAACCATCATGGCTCTGTAAAAAGCGCATTGTAAAATTCCCATGATAAAATTCTTGCGAAAGCTAAGGTAAATATTAGTTTTAATTTAGTTGAAATGGAAATATTATTGTTTGTTGCAATATGGTTTCTTGTTAAAATAATAAGTAACAAAGTGAACACACTTAACATAATTTTCCTTTTCTTTAGAGAGTGTAAAAATAAAGTTTTACATATTGATGTTTTTCACATTGTATTTTATTTACTTATTTAAATTTAGTTGTATCGTCTCTTTTTCATTTTTAAAAATACACTGATTTATTTAAAAAAAACAAACAACGGTAAGTTAAACGGATGGAAAGAGGAGCATTGGAAATTTATAATTATATAGTCGCATAAATAGTTGACAAACGAAACGCAAATCTACAATCCCTCACCAAATTATTAGACGCACTGTAAGATTCTCTGTAAAATCTTAATTATCATGTGATACTATACAGCTTTAGTGTTTTTACGCGGCTGAACTTGTTCATGTTTGTGCATTAATTGGTTAACATTGTAATGCAATACGTTAGAAATAAATACAAATGAGAAGCATTAAAAAAAATCTCCTCTATGAAAGCCCATAAATATAAGACTACTGCATATAGACTCGTGCAAAACATGCCATTATTAAAACACTACAGTGCGTATAATTATTTGATCTAATTATTATAACAGACTAATATAATGCTTGATATAATAAATATTCTATATTTATATAATATATCGTCTAATGTATCTTATCATTAAATTTATATTATATATCAGGGGTGGCGAACCTTTATACACCAACGTGCCATTTTCTCTAAAAAATTGCTTATTGAGATCATAGACGTGCCGTCAAATAATTTTGACTTCGTGATTTTTGGGAAAATATTGATACTAATTACAATGAATTCAAAACTCTTTATTTACATTGAGAAAANTATTGAAACTAAATACAACTAAATAAACAACAACAACTAAAACAAATAACAACAACTACTAATAACAATAACTAAATAAACAACAACTAAATTCCATTCGTTTAGCATTGCGTCATATGTTGTTCCTACTAAATCGAAGTAGTTGTGTTTTTTTCATATTATACCCAATTGTCCACTAATCTTCAGATTTCCTGCTATGTTTTAAAAAACTTTATTTGTGAAAACCTTCAGCGTGGCGGACGGCTGGCCGCCTTAGGCGGCTAGTAGTTAATAAACGACACGCAAATCTGCAGTCCCTGGCCAAATTATTAGACGCACTATAAGATTCTATGTAAAATCTGAATTATCAGTTGATACTCGACAGAATTATTTTTTGACGCTGCTGAAGCCGGTTTGCACTTGTTTACGTTCGTGTATCAATGGGTTAACATTGTAATGCAATACGTTGAAAAGAAATACAAATAGGAAGTATGTGAAAAATCTCATGAATAAAAACCCATTACATGTATGTTTAAATATAAGAGTACTGCCTATAAACTCGTGCAAAACATGTCATTATTAAAACATTACAGTGCGTCTAATAATTGGGTCTCATTATTATAATTTACTCATATAATACCTGATATAATAAGTATTCTATATTTATATAATATATCGTCTAATTTCATCTAATTATGCAAGAACATGAACAAGTGCAAATCGGTTTCAGTCTGGTAAAAACAATAAAGCTGTATAGTATCACCTGATGATTAAGATTTTACATAGAATCTTATAGGGAGTGTAATAATTGGGCCTTGGGACTGTAGAAACTGTTTCAGGCTGGTAATAACTTACTGAGACACTTTTATTAATTATTCAAACCAATATTTGTTTGTAGGCCCTGTTTGTGCCGGAGTTGTTGGCTTAACCATGCCAAGATACTGTTTATTTGGTGATGCTGTTAATACAGCATCAAGGATGGAATCCAATGGCCAAGGTAATTATGTGAAAAATTATTCTAAATTTCACTTTTTAGATCCCTGTTTTGATCCCTCTTTAGGCTTTTAAATTTTCTGAATATATTTCCGAGTTCTGAATATATTTCCTAGTCTTAAAAGACCAGAGAGTCTTCAGATTGTGTAGCTCGTACGAAACAGCGCATATTGGCTTAAAATTTATTCGAGAAAGATTATAAAATTCATTCAGACATTCATTAAAATCTTCAAACGCTCGCTGTTGGATGAAAAGTTTTCCGGTTGAATGCAGTTAACTGTTCAAAATTAGTCATTATTTCAATAAAAGATTCTTAGGATTTTTGCTTTATCATGGCTATGTTTAAGGCGGAATCATGAACAGTTGGAGATATGTGGAAATATTTTAATTGATCATACGGGTACCTTATCGGAACATTTACTAGAACCAACCGTACATTCCCGCTTTCCCCATATCTTGTTCAAATTTTCAATCTTTAATAAAATACTTTTTAATCATCCACTTAAGTTCAAATACATTTTTTGAAAACTTATAGTAGATGGCACTTGATGTTAATGCAGTTTTTCAAATATTAATTCATAGATTAAATTTAATTAACTAATATTAAATTTATAGGGGACAAAAATTGTACTTATTTAATAAAAAGTAGCTAAAATTAAATTTTCCTTCGTTGACCGAAGTAGGAATTGACTTTGAATTTGTTTTTAATTTTTAGATTACTTGTTATGATTCAGGTAGCATATGTTTATTAAGGGTACAAGGGACGTTGAAATTCGAATAAAATGACTAAATTTTCACTTTTGAGATTTTACTTTATATTTGAAGTAGGAATCATGAGCTTTAAATTTAAAAAAATAATAATTAAAATCTGATCATTTTTCACCGAGATATAAGCTTTTTTAGTATGACCACGCCCCTTTGCAGTTGCATTTTGCGTAAGTTTGCAAAAGAAGTGTTTATCTCCAAAAAAAGATTAGAGCTTGGCGTTATTGCTGCAGTTGCAGAGTACAATTTAGGTTATGTTGAGACATAAAAATTAAAAAATCAACATATTTATCTGAGCTCTGTAACAGTTGCTGAAAGGAAAGATTGCAGGCGTGCAAGGCAGAAAAAGCGAAAATCCTCTCAAAAATTCAAGGAAGAGAAAAATTCATGAAAATATAAAAAAATATCATTAGAAAGGAAATCAGTTAAAAAAGAAGGGTTGACATATTCTGCAGGAGAATTTTGAACATTAAATTAAGTGTTAAGAGTAATATATTTGAAATATGTTCAAAAATGTGTTATCACATCTTTCTCGTTTTCTCCTTCAAGTATTGTAATAACATTGTTATTTTGGATTATTTTTCATTTGAATATTATTAAAAACTATATTCTGATGAGGTTAATCATAAGTATTTTACACATATTTAACTCATTAAAAATGTATTATTCAAGCAAAAAATAGTGTATTATTGTGTGCAAATTTTAAAACTGGCTTTTTCTCAAAATCAATATTCTGGTAAATTTTGTGTTTTCGAAATGCTCCATACATTTTAATTTTTATCTGTTTTTAATAATACATATTTCAACAAATTGCTCGTTATACATGTCTAAATGAAAGTTGCGATGTATTATAGGTTTAACTCGAGTAAAAAAAATTATTTAGTCACAAATGAAAATTCTTATGTAACTATTTTAGTTAAAATTATGTGTTTTTTAATATTTCATTATTGTTTTAAAATTAAATTTGTTTAAAAGTTATGAATTATCGCAACTTCTTTTATTTAGAAATATAATAAAAATCTTGTAACAAAAAATTAACTTCCTACTTCGCTTTTCCGAACAAATGGAGCATTTCAAATATTTCCTTTTTTGGGTATTTTAAAAAAATTAAAATTTAATTTATTTGTAAACTAATTGAACAATCATCACCAAACTTCATGCTTAGTCTGTTTAAGATGCAACAACTAAATGCTGTAAATTTTAAAATTGTAGCTCAAAAAGTGAAAAAAAAATTTAAACGTCCCTTGTACCCTTAAATGCAAATGTATTAAATGTTATTTTATTTTGAAATGATTTTATATAGAATATATAAAATGAATAAATATTTTTTAAAAAGAAAAATGTTAAATGTTGTGTCTTCTGTGTCTTTTTAGCCCTCAAAATTCATATCAGCCCTCAATGTAAAGAGTATCTTGACAAGTTGGGTGGTTACCAAACAACTGAGCGAGGGTTGGTAAACATGAAAGTAAGACTTTTATTACTTTTGGATATCTTTTTTCTTTTTGGAAATCGTCATACTGAAATATGATGGCTTTTTTATTATTTAAAAAAAAAGTTTTTATTATAGTGCTGGGAGTTGTTTTAGTATTTTAAAAAATACACAAGATATAAAATATTATAGATTTAGCTAATTTTTTTTTTGAATTTCTTCGTCATTTTTATTGGGCTTTTTTGTGTGTAATTATTGAAGCACGTTAAAACAATTCTAATTTAAAGTCTACGAAGCTTTATTTTAACCAGAGAATAACTGCAATTTAATGCTTCGATCCATAAACCATTGTAGTATGGTATTTCCCAAATATACACAAAGATCAATCAAATTAAAGATTATTATTGACACTAATTATATTAGTATGGCATTATACTAAATTATTATTAATCAAACATATTATAATTGATGAGTGAGACTGATAAATATACTAATCAAGGTACAACCTGTTAGGGTGCACTTCACAGTTTATACATTCATTACACCTGGATGTCTTTTAAACGTATGAATAATACTTTGTAACCTAAACAATAATTACCTGAACAAAGCCTTAAGACCAAACAAAAATGAAATAGATAAAAATGAAAATTGTAAAAAAAAAAGTATTTTTAGTCTTCCCAGTCATGTTTAAAGTTCCAGCTAGAAATCTCGCCAAACTAGGTTTGTGGAAGATATTTCGGGGAGATATGTTGCAACCTTACAGAGCGTCTATTTTTATTTTATTTCATTTTATTAAAAACATTTTAATAAATTTGTAATAGTTTAAATTGTTTTTAATAATAAAACAGCAGCGTTGATCCCAATAATAATCGCCAACTTGGCGAAATTTCAAAAAATCGCCAAGGGTGGGCAATTCTAGGATTTTACCGTATAGTGTAGCGACAGCGGGTGTTCCATGTAAATCAGAATCTGGCATTGTTAAATTTGTACTGATTTTTTTCCCCATAAACTTTATGATATTTTCATTTAAAGGATAATAATACACTATTTAAAAATGTAAATTTTGTGATCAAAAAGATAAGGAAAATTAATTATTATTAAAAGTTAATATTAAAATGTTTCAGTATTAGAATTTAATCCATTGAAACGCCATTTGGGCAAATGAGAATACGCATATTTATGTTTATTATTTCCTCTAACAATGAAATATAATATTTCTTCAATTTTCGACAACTAATATTAGCCTGCATTTTTGTTTATAACACGTTTTGCTTCTGCACTTAAACATAAGTTTTGAGGGCTTTAAGGATATTTAATTTTTTCTTGTGGTTTCTTCAGCTTTTATTTTTTAAATTCATAAAAATGCTGCAATGACAGCATATGTTATTAACTGAAGGGGATTTTATTTTCGCTCATAACATATATTTTTTCCTTTTTCCTTCGTTTTTTATTTATATCACGTTCGGGTCACCATTGAGGGGGATTTTATTTATCGACCATATCAACCTTCATCTATCAAAAGTTAACTCAAAATAGAATCAAGTTAACATGTCCTATATACTAGTGAATTTATATTTAATATTTATAGTGGTAGTTACACCACGAAACTAAAAAAAATGGTTTTCATCAATGAAATTTCATATTTTCGAAAATTTTCTCTGAACCACATAACACAGGTGATTGTTTACAAACCACTCCTTAAAAATTTGCTAACCACTGAAAAATATTTAAAAAGAAAACACGGTCCAATTTCGCGAGTTGTTAGTGATTATGCATCCAGACAGACTTTCGCTTTTATATATTAGTAACTTTTATATGATTCACTGCATGTAAACTATATGTACCGTGAATGTAAAAATACGCTTAAAGAACATTATTTTTACGCAAATAGTGTTAAAATACGTACTAGAACTGCTTAAAAACACAACTGAAATAAAGTACGAACTAGAACATAATTAAAACACAGCTCTGTTGAAAGAAAAAACTTCTAATACTAACGTTAAAAACTCAACAATTTTTTTAAAATCTTAAACATAACAGTTCTATCAAAAAATAAACATCATACTCAAGAACAAATCCAAACTGAAAAACATCGGTGGCGTAACTAGATCACTTAAAAAATACAACAATAGCGAAGGCTCAACTAGATCACCCATCGTTTTGTAATTTATTATCGTTTTCAAATTCCAGAAAAATAAATGATCTAGTTCATCGCTGTTAACAAATAGCATTTCTAGCACATAAATTAAAATACACTTTTAAGTAACATTCAATTTTCTTATTTCCAGGGCAAGGGTGAGATTTTAACATATTGGCTGGAAGGTCACGTTAAAGGACCAAAGAAACGAACCAACTCTGCCGCGGAATCTGTCCTGCCACTCTTCAACGTCACCAGGGAAGAAAATGCAAAAAGACTGAGCCCCAAACTTGCTGATCCCACAAGACGAGGGTCTATGGCTAGTCGCAGGAACAGTTCATTTGTCAACAATTCAGAAGAACCTCCTACTTCACCCGGTGGCGTCCCCGTTTTCTTAAGGCTGTCATCCACTGAGAGCCCTAGATCTCCAAAACGCATCCACTCATTCGGCAGAGGAGATCCGGCAAAACTGCTCAAGATCCACACACCAAGCAACAGCAGCTGGTACGGCAACGCTTCAGCCAGCAGTTGTGGAGATCTACAAAAAATCGGCACCATTGTCGTGACACCAGAAGTCGAACTCGGCCCTGTCCCTAAAGGCATCCGCAGTAAGCCGAAACTCGAGAGCATTGGCTCAGAAGACTGTGATGTGTGCGGACCTGAACAGACATGCAACGCGTGCAACAAAACGGCCGAATCGAATAAAAAGAACGGGATGCTCAATTTAGACGAGTCGATGCGTCCTCTGTTAAGTCATTCCAAAGATGGGAAGGTGGGTCTGCTTCTGAGTACTTCAGAAAAATCGTCGTCGTTTCTGAAGCCACCTGTTTTGAGAATACCATCTAAAAAATGGAGGTCGTGCGATGAAATTATTTTACCAAAAAACTCAAAGAACTCATTGAAAGAATTCTTCACTGGGCTTTTGGGAAACAAAACCCACGAGTCTGAGTTTAAGAGAGCAAATAACTTTTCCCTGGCTGTTGAGAAGGAGGAAAGTTTGGTATAACATTATGTCATTTAAATGTGATGATGTGCGTTTTTTAGACACCTTTCTTCGACTGCCATAATAGGAAGATTTCGCAAATTTATGCTAGCTCCCGTACGTTAGTTTTTAAGTAACTGCGCATGCCTCAATTCTGATGAACTGTGCATGCGCCCGTGAAAAAATACCAATCTTATGTAAAAGGAAATATGAGATTTTGCAAAAATCCATAAGTTATAAAAGCTAACGCAGTGGAGTATTTTAACTTTGACTAAGAAATCAAAACAAGAATTTACAATGGACGTAGATAATCTCTTCGTCCAACTAATTGTTGTAATATCATATCACACTATTCATTTCTAAGTTTCATCAATATATTTATTCAAATTCGCATTCCATATCCACGTTTTAAGCTCTAGGGTAAGCTATAAACAGCGCGCTTGTAGCTTTGTCTCTGTAGCGTTAATCACTCCAACGTAACTTAAAGATAAGTAGCATCTGAAATGAACGCGAGCACATGCGCAGTTGAGTCAAATCTTATGTACGAGGGCGTGCGGTCACTAACGTAAAAGTGCGAAATCTCCCTAATATTATTTTACGGACGCATTGATGTACTGTGCTTACTTAGTTATAATCAATTGCTCAAATTATTTTCAGGATATGGACTGAAAAACACTTTTATTTCAACGATCTTTAGAGTACGGAAAGGTTGTATAGGGTGAAGAAATAAAACTAGAATTTTCGATGCAAGAAAAAAAAATTGAAATTTAAATTCTAACGCAGCCTATGTATATTTATATTTTATTTTTTGTCTGTCGGTCCGTTCTCTTTTCGCATATGCCAACTTTATAGCATGGATAATGTTAAATCCGAAACTGCTCTTTAACACATTCTACAGAACTTACATATGCAATAAAATAAGTACAAACAACCACCTCTCCGTGATTGCAATGCGTGAATGTTTCTTTTTTTCTTAATTTAATTGCTTCTATTTCGTTAGTTAATTCACTATTCGAATACAGTTTGTGAACAATAATGTTTTGTTAAGCTTTCTGCTACTTTCAAAATTACCCCAAAAATGAGTAAATTTTAATTTTAAAAAAAGTAAACAATTTTTTAGTTTTTATTTTCATTCTTTTTGTTTAAATGTTTCTTTTCGTTGCACCATATACTAAAGGGAAATAAGTGCTTTAATATTGGTTTGTGATTTGTTTTGCGCATTCTTTAAAGGATTAATGACTGCTATTTGAGGCTGATATATAAGTAGGTATTTATTTACGTCGCACTAGAGCTGCACAATGGGCTATTGGCAACGGTTTGGGATATATCCCCGAGGATGATCCGAAGACATGTCTTCGCAATTTTGAGTCTCCTCTTTGGTAGCTCGACTACCTGCCTTCGAAGTCGAGCACTTTACGATAGAACTGTTTAACGAGGACCGATGCCGCGTACTCTCGGTCCCTACCTGCTTACTGACAGCAGCTAGTAGTGCTTGACTTCGGTGATCTACTGGGAACCGTGTCTTTACCATCAGTCCACTGAGGGACCTACTGAGGGTCCTGAAACGCATCTTAAACAGGTTTTTGTTTAATTTCAATTTTATTTTTTGTGTAATTTTATTTCTCATTACTTTATACAACTTTTCTCGTGCGAAAAAAGTAAAAATTTTTCCTGTCGAATTGAATTTTTTTTTTTACGTATTTTTTCTTTATTTTAATACATTCGATAAACCTTTAGAAATTGCAGATTTTTGTTATTTTGGAAATTGTCTGACTGAATTTCAATTAATTTATTCTTCATCAAAATTGCAAAAAAAAATAAGTGTTTTTCGGTCCAATTAATTAAGCATTAGTAAGTATTTATAATATGTGGTGTATTATTACAGAAAGAATACACGGCAGCTAAGGTATAAAAGCATGAAAAAAAATCAGCTCTCTTTTTTAAATTAAGTGATAAATAATGGCAGTAATATATTTTTTCCAAATATTAAAGTTTTGTAAACAAATTTTGTTTTAACTATTTTAGAAGATTAATAAAAAAGTGAAACTATTTTTCTAACTCGAAATTTATTAAATCTCAAATGGAAACCAATTTAAGGTAAACACAAAAGGGAAATATGCAACTATATTTAGACATCTATGCAACATTGTGTTTTTCTTACACCTTCTAAACCATTTTTTTTTTAAAAATTTCGTCTTTAAAATTTTTTAAAATGTTCTAGTCATTAGTAACAAAGTTTTAAACGAACAGATTACTTCAAAGTTTTAAACAAACATAAGTTACTTCAATAGTTTAAATATACGAAATGTTTATATAAGTTACTTTACATAAACCTTTCATATTTGTTAGAGAGAAGAACAAGCTTAGAGAATAAAAAAACTTTATTTTGCAAAAGAGTTGTATTTTCTAATACGCAATAAATATCAATATCATTATTCTAGTGCATGCGTTGCTGTTAAATTTTTTTTAAAGGCAGATTGAATTTTACACACCATTATATAAAACGTTATTAAAAAAATATTATTTGTATCCGTATTTCCATGAGACTACATTATATTACCTGGGGATTTTTACATTTGTTATTTTATTAAAACAAACATTTTACAACTGTAACTGTTAAAGTAGAAGTAAAGTAAATTAAATTTATAGTTTTTTGTTGAAACTGTATTTTATGTCCTTCTATTCACTTTTTCGTTTTATTTTTAATGTAAAAAATACTCTTTAATAATCTGGGAAATGCATTTATAATTATATTTTTCACTCAATTTTACGGGAAAATGTAAGGAAAATCCAATTGTATTTTTTGAAAATTATTGATTTTGTGATAATGATACAGAAAATAGAACAATTTAAGTCTGATGTATCGTATTGATCACCTTTACTATTTTTTTTTAGAATTCCATCAAATAAAAGACCGTTTTAAAACGTAGTATTTAAGTGAGGAAAAAATGATTTAAATGATATTGAAAGGAACCAAATCTCAACTGAAGAAAACCAGTTTGATTGCTTGTTAAAACTTGAAGGTATTTTAATAATAAACCTTTTTGCTTCCTCTAACAATGGAACAGATTTTGTTTTTATACGTCAGTTATAGATTTCAGTAATGTTTTTCCTGAGTTTATTTGAATGTCCTAGCGTGTTTCTGTCTGAACTAATTTTTAACAATGGTTTAAAAAATATGCATTAATGGTGGGCTACAGAAAACAACTTGTACATTAATTTTAACAAGCCTTATTTACTTAATATGCCACTTTAATGCCAAAATCACTTCATTTAGTCATATCATGTTCACATATATTGTATTAAAATAATAAATATGTCGATTATTCACATATCATTTTGCAAAATAAAACGAGAAATTTGTTTGACTTTATGCAACACTTATCTCTCCATTGTACTAATAAAGGAAAGCAATATAACTGATATGCAATTTCATCGTCATTCATAAGCTTTGTATTCTGTATGTAACCTTGTCCTGCGTATATTTAGAATATACTTATCACTTTATCCGTCTTCCAAAGTGACCACTGATTATTTAAAACAGTGTTTCCCAAAGTGTGGTACGCGTACCCCGGGGGTACGGAACAGTTTAGCGGGGCTACGCGTTCTTATGCGAAATATCTTGCAACAAGCGAAAATTTCAAAAAGAAAAAATTTTAAAAACGAAGCTAACCATGAAAATTTTCGATTACGTATTTTTCTATTGGCTATTTTTTGCAGAGTTAACAGTTAATAATTAGTGGTGTCAACAGCCAGTTGTGATTTGTTCAATTTTTTTATAGTAAAAAATGCATTAATTTTTCTATAAGTGGTACAAAGCGTTACGAAAAATTTAGAAAGGGTACACAAAAGTCATAAGTTTGGGAAACACTGATTTAAAAGAATATTTTTTGTGAAAACACAATTTTTCAATTTGGTTGTTACTTTATACTCTCCTTTAAATGTGATGTTTCGTTAATAAGTTTTCCTATTTTTAGATAAATTAATATATTTGAATTGTTTTTCTCAAAATCTCTGGAATTAGGGATGCTATTGGATTATTAATAAGTATTATTTTTCTTAATCAATTGCGATGCTTGAGGCAAATTTTTAAACTAATCAGGAGCCATTCTTTTGAGAAAGAATTATATAAATCAACTTACTTTAGAGAGTTTTTGTCTGGAAAACAATTGAATTAATCTAGATAGAATTGATTGAGAATATCATGTACACGAATTTCTTTTTATTTGTAGTGTTTATATATCTTATTTTCAGTTGATCAAATCAAATAACCAAGTAAAGACTCCAATTAGATATATTGTAATCGAAATAACAAAAAAGAACAAATCTGAATTCTTATCACTCAGGCTCTATTTGAAATGTTATCTTATAAACTCTCCATTTCGATAGTTTAGAAAGGCATTTTTTTAATAATGAAATCGTCCCGACAAATATTTTTAGTATATCAGAAACATTTCTAAAATATATATCAAAAATGGTTTCAGAAGCTTGGATTTATTCGTTTTTTAGAAACTAAATAAAGTCCTTTTTGGGATTTCAAAAAAAAATAAAAAATATTTTGCTTCTAACTTTTTTAAATTTTTTTATTTATCTGAAACGAAATTTTGACCTTTCTGCTCTCTGAAAATTTTAAATCTAATTTGAAGAAAGGCCATTTCAAATTCGAGTTATAATACTTCCGAAATATTTGATTATATTTTCGTCTTAGATAGAATAAGAGAAAAATATTTTAATTTCAGAGCTGTTTTTATTAAAAACTTTGATAAGGTTACTTGTAACCATGATTGATTTTTATTATAAATGATATGCTAATTTTAAATTATGACTATAATTGCAGCTGTTAGTTTTAAAAGGGGGGTATGTTACCAATCTAAATCAGAAGAACCAAAAAGAGAAAAACCAAAAAACACCGTGTCAATTGTGGAAGAATTGTTTTGATTGCTTCCAAAATGTTGGATTCTCTTTTTCAGGCTGTCTGAATAATTACTCTGTATTTGATAATAATTGATTGATATTCAAAATCAAACAAAAAACTTATTTTCTTAAAAATTTTACGTACTCCCTTTTAACATTGACAGCTACAATTGTAATGATAATTATGATTATTCTTAAAACATCATCTTTTAAATATATGCATTGTTTTTAAATGTGGATGTTTTAAGTGTAAGAAAAATAAAAATTTACAAGTAATACACTGATTGTAGTTTCAAGCATCATAATTACTTTAATCAACATTAAAAGCAATGCAATAATTGTGATTTAAAAAAACGTCTTATTATTGCATTTGTCTGACACATAGTGGTTAAAGGCACTGATATGTTATTGTGAAAAGGACTGGAGTTCGAACCTCGATTGTTACTTGATGTCCATCCAGCTTCAGATCAATGGGTATCAGCCTTTGCTGGATACTGACTACAATGATACCGTCAGTCAAAAAATTACGGGGGTTCAAGAGCCCCCTTTTGCTGGAATGTTTTATTCTTTGAAACTGATTATCTCTTAATTCCTCAGCAGTTTTGTGTATTTATATTATCCTATCTATTTTTGTTGTTTTCGTTAACATTCCAAACTAATCAAAATGGTATCACATTATAACATCAAGTTTTTGATTTTAAAAAAGGCCAATTTCTTGAAACTTGTTATTATCTCACACAGTCACTAAAACATATATATATATAT